TTATGTCTGCGGACGGATTGCTTTTCAGGTAGAAAATTGAAGACAAACACACACACATACACACAAAATGTCCAGACATACAAACTCACAAGGTTTTTACATTTATCTTGATAGACTTATCGTTCTTATTTTAGATTCCTTTAAGGAGGGATTCTTCTCTAATTCTACTCATATTTCTTGTATTTAAAAATTAATGAAATTTTCATAGATTCAAGAAGACAATATGACTAAGTGATGGTATCAATTAGATTAAATTTGACCTTTTTATTTTAGAAAGAAGGTCAGGTCAAGGTCATTATCTTTTCCCTTGACATTTAGAGTAAAAAATTACTGTTGCTAATCATGTGATGCCTACTCCTATTTTAAAAGATAAATGTTTTTCTTTTTGCACAAAAAGATGTTACCATATCGGGTCTGTCAGATGATTCTACCAAATTAATTGACATTATCTAACTTAAATAGATATTGGCTTATCCGGATTTCCTCTGTTTTTCTTAATTTTTTAGGATATATTAGTTATTTTTATATACTTCTTACATTTAAATATTTCTTATTTTTACATATGGTAAAGTAGTTTTATAAATATACAAAATGATACAAAAACAAAAAGCTTTGACCGTTTAGTAAAAGAGAAAAACACTTTTTACTGATTTTTTGCTCAAATCTGTTTTAAGTTTGGAGGCCTTTAAAAGCTTACAAGATTGTAGTTTGTTTAGAAAATCATTTTTATTTGCTATGTTTAAAACTTTGGGGCATTATTATTAATTTTAGTTACATATCATAATTTTCTTCGAGTCTTTGATTGTTTAAAAATAATTAACCACATGTAATGTTCTGTAAGTGATTTTGATAGGCAGAAAAGGAGATATTTTCATACGCCGCAGTTGCGCCAAAAATATAGTCCTTTATGGATGTCAAACTCAGTTTACCATTTCTATTTAAAATTGTACAGTCATGATGAGTAAAGAAAAATATGATCTTTAAAATACATTACAGCTAAGTTTATAAGACATACAAGCAAATATACTTGGAATATTTCGTCTAGTCAGAAACCAGACAAGAATCCCTCATTAAAGTTCTGGGTGAAAGATTGATATTCTTATATATTATATATAGATCTACTATTAATTCTTCTACTTCCTCTAAGTGGCCTCCTTCTTCGAATTAAATATTCTGTCATATATGTGTGCGCATGTGAAAAATAATTTTTTAAAAAACATTTGTCTTTGTGAAATTAGTTCTTCCTGGTCACTTTAGATTTAAAGATCTCAAGTGATTTTGCGGCTGCAGTATCTCGTGGTAGGTTGTTACATTCTTTAATGGTGTTACAAAAGAATAACCACTTCCCTCAGTCTTTAGTTGCAGATAGTATGGCAAAAGAATGTTGTTTTGTGTACCACGATCTTCATACAGGCTTTTTGAAGTGGTCCTCTGGTCTGATGGCTACTTTGTTGATAATTATCTTATACATCATGATTAGTCGTGGATCTTTCCTTCTTCTTTTTAAGAATTCTATATGTTTAAACATTTCTCCCACGCGAAATTATATTTTTTTTTATATTTCTGTAATTTCCTATTACCAAACGTGCCTCACTAGCACATTAAGTTACTGAGAATACAGACTTGAACTGTTTATTTAGGATATTTGCCATTTTTGCAGGGTTGGCCTCAAGTTATCAATTTCGTTTTACTGACGAGACACCCCCTTTAGCTGTGCTGGCTTTTTCGTTTGGAGCGAGTATGCCCTTCATGTATGACCAATATGCTCTTCTGGATTGTCTCTAAATTTGGTATTTCAATTCTTTATATTTCTTGAAGCCGTCTTTATGGTATGTTTTCTTCTTTCGCTTGTAGGTCCTATCACGTCTCAAGATAACTCTATTCATATCCCCTGTTATCCATGGCAATTTATCCTTTTGTCTTGCTAATCTAGTTGGAATGTTTGTATCTATGGTTTTCTCTAAATCGCATCTTTTTCCATAACTTCCCTATACCTCCCCCTTTTCATCCTCATCTTTGATTTTTTCATAGAGGTCTTAGTTCCCTCTGCCATGATTGTCCTATTTGCCTTTTTATAGTATAGTATGGTATCTTTCTGGATATCTACTTCTTTTATCTATTCATTTTCATATCTGTATCTATTCCCATGTGTTGTTTCTATCTGATGAACCCTTTTTGAAATGTTTGTCTAAATAAGTGCAAAATTGCCTTTTGAATCCTTTATCATCCAGTATAACTACTAGATGGTTTTGATTTTTCGTAGGCTGTGTTCCAGATCTTAAAATTTTCCTTTCCAGTTCCATCCTGGGAAATTGAAATCAACCCCAATATAGGATCTGCAAGTTTGGGCTATAAGCACGTTGAACTGATGTTTAAAAAGCTGTTAAGTTTTCATATGTTTTGGGATTGTAGAATGCGTAAATTCTGACATCTTTCAGTCCACTTGCTCAATAATGGCCAATACAATCTCCCCATTTGTGTCCAATGCCGGCATCTCTAAGCTCAGGAATTTGTTATGAATAGCAATGTGCACACCTCTACCCACATGGTTCGTTCTATCTTTTCTATATATTATATATTTTGTAGGAAAAATGGCACATTTTTTACATTAAATTAAGTATAAAAACAAGGCCTAACAATTGGTATGAAACTCGGCAGCCAAAGTACGACCCATTGATAGGTTGTATTTGCTAACAAGGTCATTATAACGAGCATAGAATTTATGAAATGCTGACTTTAAAAGAGGTTGTTGAGATCCCTGTAACATTATTTTATCTGTCAGTAGCCTGTCTCGATTTAAAAATTGATTGTACTCAAAGCATGGTTTTGATTTAAGGAATAGCTGTCTTATTTTTTGGATTCATGATGTGATCAATCGAGTGGCTTGTGTGATAATTTGCATAAACGCCGAAGGCGTTTATGCATAAAATTATCACGCAAGCCAATCGATTGATCATCGTCATGAATCCAAAAAATAAGACAGTTATTCCTTATATTTACATGCTCCTGATTCTGCAAATTCCCGTGTTAATAACCCCGCTTCTGTCTCTATTTGTCCCGCCCCGCACGTGATTTTTTTTAACCGCACCTATCGATGAACCAGTAGATTTATATAGAAATAAAGTTTTTTTTACAATTTGTAATTTTATCTCGGACAAAGACATTGGAAATGTAAATATTATTGAATAAGTTCGGAGATGTTGATACCATATGCAGGTGATAGCGGAATGCAGCTGCATAAATAAGGAAAGTTGAAGACATCTAGTTTGTCATATAATTTAGTTGTTAGTTTGCCCTTATTGTCTTTTGTCATTTACAAATTCCAAATATGAAACAGATTGTGCGAGATAAAAATATACTTTTTACCATTTGATCTTATTTTAACAATGGGAGATACTGTAGCACTCATTCTGAATTAATCTATGTATCTACCCATGTAACTCTTACATGTAGATACACTTGTTTGTGACAAGCACAGCTATAACATTCATGATACATGTAGGTAAAAGGATGAATGTGTTACATTTTCCATTATATAAAGAAACCATTCATCCATGTTATCAAATTTAGAAGTAAGCATGCGAGTTTGGTGTGATTATGAGGGGAAAAAAGATGTTCACTTATTGTATTGATATATTGGGCTTTTGGTATCTGATTCGTTTCATGGACAAAATTACTACAAAATAGAATATATTTTAAAAAGAAGTATTAAAAAATGATTTCAGCAATTGTATTTAAAATGTTGTGTATAAGCTTAACTGGCTTTGAATATAGTTTAACCTTTAATTATGTCTTTATGAGTGTTTTTTTTTTTTTTTTTTTTTTTTTTTTTTTTTTTTTTTTTTTTTTTTTCCCCCAATTTTGGTTTGTGCCTTTAGTTTGTATATTAATATTCAGGTTTTGTTATTTATGATTGATTTATTCTCTGGTGTCTTTTTTATACCGTTATTTTGAAAATTCTTTGTAGTGATTTATTACACGATTATTTTTGCATGGATTTGTAGAACAATTAATTTAGTAAAGAGTTCATTTATAGTCATTTCAATAGAGATTCTTAACAGTAACTTTTTGTACAAATTTTAATGTACGTTATAAATTTATTTTGGTTGTAATTCATTTTCTTAGGTATATTAAATGCAAGTTTACAAAAGTAACTGATGGGTTACTGCATTTACATAGAACCTGAAGAAATACGCGAATAGTTATTTGCCAAGCTGAACCTCACGATCCACGTCGGCAACATTGACTACATCATACTTATGTACCTGGAAAAAGGGCGCATGTAAAACCAAGCTAGATGTTGGTGACATATGTTAGTACATTCATAAATCAGATAAAGTAATGTTAATGCTTCAATCACAAACTGTGTGTAAACATCCCATAAAAAGCAGTCACAATAGATAATATTTGTCTAAAGCAGTCGTAATTTGAGGATTTTATTTATATGACCATCAAATATGAATGAGTTAGATAATCTATTGATTCTTGTATTAAACCCAATCAAGGATTCATCGATTACGAAAATTTATTGATGAAATAGGATGATGAGACTTAGTTCTCTTATCGCTGGGCAATAAAATTTGAATGCCTCCTCTATAGCTGGAACAAGTAAACACGAGGGATAAAAATTAAATGATCAATCTGATCGATGAGAGTGTATTAACAGACAAGGCTTAACTTTTCAATTTTAATCATTTTCCATTGTTCAGAAAAATTGGTCGAGGAATTCGTGTGTTAGCAGCCTGTGATATTGATTTTTCCACTCAGAGTTTTGGGGTTACCAAAGGCCTCTCAGTAATAAAATCGGGCATTGGATGCATCAGCTGCAAGAGATATGGTACGGAAACTGCCAGTATGATATATTTCGCCCATGAAACGGTTTTAAGGATATGTTAATTTTGCAAAGTGGTGAGCTTTGGAGAACTTTATTTCAAAAAGGAGTTTGTAGTCTAAATATTGCTTTAATATTTGTGAGTGGAGGTGCTTTACTCCCGGAAGATATGTGTATCAATCATAAATGCCGTCTGTTTCCAAGTCGAGTTATTTATGCAAAAATGCATGTCATCTGTGGTGAAAATTAAAGGATATTTGTAATCAGTAAACAATTTCATCGTTTATTTTTTTGTGTGTGTGTGTGTGTATAGTGAATACCTCTGACATTTACCACTAAAAAAAAAAAAACTTTGAAAATGGCCGATAATGCTACGTCACCAGTGTCACTGGATTACGTCATCTACCACAAACTCATGGAAAACATTGCCGCAATTGTGTATACGTCTGTGCTTTTAGTGATAGGTGTTCCAGGAAACTGTTTCGTATGTTATATCTACTTTAGATGGAAAGAAAAGAATTCATCTAAAATTTTCATTTTATCTCTAGCTATAGTTGATCTTTTTAACTGCCTTATTACCATGCCAACAGAACTGGCAATGATGACAAACCCGATGAATTTTGATTTCAACATCATTTGTAAGCTTTCTCGGTTTTTCACTTATTTGTGTAACACAATTGCAGCCTTGATCATGATCGTTATCGCTGTGGACAGGTATCAAAGGATCTGCCACCCTAGCAAAACCAACATGACTATCCGCCACGCTAAAATAGCAGTAGGTGTTTGTTTCATTATTTCTGTGCTTACCACTTGGCCTGCTCTTGTCATGTATGGAACGTCATTAACTGTACTTGGATCAAATGCCTTCGCTAAAAATTGTTATGTAGAAAACGAATTCCTTTCTTCTCCATTTGTGCTATCTTATTTTGCATTCCATACTATTGCAACAATTACAATCTTCATTATAATTTCTGTCTTGTATATATTCATCGGATTGGCAGTTTACAAAAGATGGAAGTTTCGAAGGCAGTTTCTCTCTAGTTCTAAGAATCTTCTTGTGCGCATGTCAAGAACAAATAACTCTCGTGACGAACTCAACACTCCGGGTAGTATGACCTGCTTAGATTCTGTATCAGGGACAAGAAATACAGTAGTGAGGAGGAACGATTTCCGTTCGCCCAAAAAACAAAACATAAAACTAGAAAAAACGACCTTTATGTTATTTCTTGTGACCTTGACTTATATATTAAGCTTTATTCCTTTCTTAACCCTGGCTATCCATCGTTCAATTCATCCAGGGGAGTGGGAACACATCTCTCACGCGGGTGAAGTCGTGTATCAGGTATTCATTAGGTCGTACCTTCTTAATTCCTGTGTTAATCCAATTATTTATTCGTTCTTTAATTCTCTCTTTAGAAGAGAGTGCAAGAAAATGTGTTGCAAGAGGCTTCATGTTGTTTCATTTTCGTTGTCATGACAATGCGTAAAAATCTGATTGTTTATCTGAAATTGCTTTTATGTTTTTACGATTTTGTAAACTTTGATTTCATGTCAAATGTGTGTATTAAAAGTTAATAAATATATTCTTTTTAAACTGACGTCATTATCTTACTTGAAAAAAAAAAACTCATTCGGTAGTTTTCTTGTGTGTCATTGTGTCTTTTCAGGATTTAAATACGTAACTGATCCATTTTTTTATCATAAGTTTCTTTTCTTTCTTTTGCATGATAATAAAATTTTACTTTAGCTGCGATTTTCTAACTTTTCCATTAATTAATTTTATGTTCCGAATGGTTCAAATTATGAAACTGAAATTATTTTAAATACAAAAAGGAAAAATCACAATTGTTAACAAAATTAATTGTATCTTTGCCCCCCTTGTATAAATAATATCAAAAAGTGCTTGGGTGTTTCAAAAGTGAGTTGACACAGGACAGGATATGATGGTCCTCCATATGTCGTACTTTAAATGAGTGAAACAGGAACTTATTCAAATATAGTTTATTTTATTGAACGGCAACTTATAAATCATATGTTTCTGTAAATGTCCCCTCTGATTGATTTCTGGCGTTATCACTAATTACAATGGACAACCTCTCTGAGTTTAATATGTACATTTCCATATTGTGTTAAGAAATAACAAAATTTTCTTTGGTTTTTAAAAAGAAAACATTCTATATCATCCTTCTACTAGAGTACAAAGATTAAAATTTTCCCTCGTGACATGATAAATTAGACCAAGGTATGTGACAAATTATCATTTAAAAAAGTGTTATTTTCTTCACCCCAATAGCAAAATATAGGTATTTTGAATAATGATATTTTGATGTATTCCAATCTCAATCTGTAAAGGATTTCTTCAAACCACGATGTAGGAAAAAACTCAGGAAAGGTTATTCATTGCTACGCAAGAATTATTGCCAATGTAACAAAGAGTATAAAAAATAAAGAAATCTGAGACCAAGGCAGACACGATCCCCTTGAAACGCCAGGAGGGGGAATTGTTATGTAGGAGTAAGCATTCATATCTACTGGACACTCCCATAGTGGACCCTTTGAATGTCTGTACACACTGCCGTGGAAATATGTGAGAGTATTGTAAAAAAAAAATTGAAAAATGGACATGTCATTACCTAAAGTAGTGATGAATACAGGATCGATTTCATTCGTATATAATATATAAGTATATGATCTATGGCCACGCGACTTATGCAGCTTAAAAACGTAGATGACTTTGCTCTATCAATTTTGCAAACCCTGACCTGCGCAAAAATATATCATAAATTAATATGTTCAAATTTGTCCATCAGCTCATAACAATCTGCATGTACCAAAAAAACCATCGACATTCTGTTCAGAGAAGCTATAAAGTCATTGTTAACAAAATGATGGAAGAGTTCCCCTCAGGCAAGGAAGCCATCAACCATGCAACTCATGGAGAACTTCTGGGGATAAGATCTCACTACCTCCATTTTTTATCTAATTTCCCAGGAGTAATTGAGAAGTCCCACATCGATTCTTGAGGTTATATGTCAGTTAGAGGTCAACGCATTGAATTAATAAAACAGTAAAATGGATGTGCTAAGGCACATTGTATTTTCATACTTTTGCAAATTATTTCGATGTAGGTCAGTGTTTTCTTTTTTGCTTAATGTAACTTTAATAACTAATATGTATAATACATAATTTAAAGAAATTAGAAGCACTCATTATTTAAAGTTTTCAAGTAATTTTTTTTAAATTCATCTTTACAGATTCTAATTAAACAGATACAAGGCCAAATATGCAAAGTTTAGTTTAAGGTTTGAAATATTAATAATATTTGTAGCTATCCAAAAATCTACGGTAATGTCAACAATTTTTGTGGCCTAAAATTTTCGTGGTATGAAGAAAAAAAGTTCTTTGTGATTGAAAGAAAAACATTATACAATAGTCTGAAATAGCAACATGATACAGTAGATACAGTAGTCTGAAATAGCAACATGATACAGTAGATACAGTAATCTGAAATAGCAACATGATACAGTAAATACAGTAGTCTGAAATAGCAACATGATACAGTAGAAACAGTAGTCTGAAATTGCAACATGATACAGTAGATACAATAGTCTGAAATAGCAACATGATACAGTAGAAACAGTAGTCTGAAATAGCAACATAATATAGTAGTTACAATAGTCTGAAATGGCAACATGATACAGTAGATACAGTAGCCTGAAATAGCAACATGATACAGTAGTTACAATAGTCTGAAATAGCAACATGATACAGTAGTTACAATAGTCTGAAATGGCAACATTCCGCGGAAGACGTGAATTCGTCGGTCTTCATACCACGAAAACAACGAAAGCTAACGCACACAAAAATAAGCATTCTGAGAGTATTGCATTAGCAATACTAGTCCCCTACCGGCAAGTGTTATCTGGTTCACGTTAAAAATGTGAAAATTCCATAATTCCTTAAAAAAATCAATGAAGCGGAACAAAATGCAAACTTGATCTATAACTCATCAGGGTAAAGTAACATACCAAAAATCAGCTCAATATCTGCAAGCGTTTAGAAAAAAATTGCAGAAAACCCTGAAAATTTGAAAGGCCGTAATTCCGTCAAAAATCATTGAAGCGGAACGAAATGCAAACTTGATCTGTAACTCATCAAGATACACTCACATACCAAAAATCAGTTCAATATCTGAAAGCGTTAAGACAAAAATGCGGAAAACCAATCGGGACAGACTGACAGACAGACAGAGGGACAGACAGACAGACGGACAGACAGACAGACAGACTGACTGACTGATGGACACACTCAGAGGAAACCTATAGTCCCCTCCGGTTTCACAGGTAGGTGACTAATAAGTCAATTATCAGTAAATCAAATATGGACAGTGGAGTTTTCTGGAGTTACTAGTATGCCTTATTAAGGTATTGATAATGCATACATAATGCATACATACGTTTAAAATAACCATTGACTTTTGAAATATTTATGAAATACAAAAAAAAAGTATTCACCTGAATTTGAGAATTGTGTCGTTATCATTCAATTATTGATGATGAAGGTATATCTAAATATCGTCAACATTTTCATATTTCGCCTAGCTTATTATATTTCCTTAAAAAAAAATAATATGATTCAATATTGATTGAACAAAATTACAACTTAAATATTCTTTTCTTTTGTTCCATCAGTTTGCAAAAGAAAAGCTACATCTTATTCCATGTTTTCTCCGAGTTGCCATTATGAGTCATAAATATCCACAAAGTATGTAATCAAGAACTCAGACTAATCATTCAAATCAAATCTGTTATTATATAATATCAAAATTACTGACTGTGAAGATGTTTGCTATCAGAAGCAGTCATTTAGGAAAACATTCCGACGTTATGTCAGTGATGTGTATTCCTGATGGAAGACTAATAAACCATGATATATGGTGCATTTTAAAACAAGGAAAAGCAATTAAATATCAAGGGGAAAATGAATATTTACTCGTGCCTTACTTTTTATATAGTATAATATATAGTAAATTAGAATCGTGTCATTGATTTTATATTTTATCATTCTGATAATGACACTGTCAAATTTTGCAGATAAAGGACTATCTTACGTAATTTTCTTGCATTATAATTCATACCAATTGTTAGACCTTTGTTTTTATACTAAGTTTGACTACGGAATGTTCCTTCTACCCGATCAGTACATAGGGCTCATGGTGGGTGTGAGCGGTCGACGGGGATGCTTACCCCTCCAACCACGTTATCCAATCTCTGAAATTTCTGGGGGTCTGTTCTTTATGTTCTGTTCACAGATTGATATTGTTTAGGTTTTCTGAGATCTGTTACTGTTTGCTATCTTCACCTTTTACATTTTTCAGTATTTCATTTCATTTCATTTTACATTCTTTAAAAATATCTCTCTCTGTAAGCAGACAAACTAAATACATGGCCATGGTTAACATAAGTAAGGCTGTCTCTTACAAAAATTCTGAAATTCATGGCCTCTGGGTCAGGGACTTTGGTGTTGAGGTAGGGCTCTATTGATAATATAACGAAAAGGTATTAATTCTTTGAAAAAAAATCTTCTTCTCTGCATCTGGGTAGTAAGCAGAGAAACTAAATGTATGGTACATTTTTTTGTTTCGAAACAAATTTTAATTTTTAAGAAATATTATTAGACTTCTTTAAGGTAAAATTCACATTCACATTTATATTTTATTTTTTTGTGTGCAAGATCAATAGAGAATACAAGAAAGCCATTATAATAGCATGTTACACAATTTCGATTATAAATATTAATGATCGTTCTCTGCATTGTAATTAAGGGCATTGCAATATGTCTCCCCACGGATAACTATTGTTATAACAATGGAGACATTTGTCCATTATCAAGGAGAAAATTAATGTTGTTCCACGTAGGTTTTTATCAATAATTTTTCAACAATATCCCAAACGTTCTAATAGACGTTCTAATGAGATAGGAAATCATTAGGGGGTAATTGTACCTAAATCAAGAATGAAAATATTAGATCCCTTGTTAGAGGAAGAAAGATATTCAAACGATTCGAGAATATTTAATAAAATACAATCTCTGCACTTACATTATTAACAGTTATACGATATTTTCAACCATATTGTCTACTTTATTTATCAGGAAATCAGTAGATTTCTCCGAGTTGCTTATTTTTATCGAATTTTCATTTTTATGAGACTTCAAGGAACGCCATGATGATATACATGTATATTGACATTTTGTAATCATGCCATTGGACAAAAAAATTAAGTTTGTTTTTTCAATATGGCATGTAAATACTAAATCAAAAAAAAAAAAAAAAAAAAAAAAAAAAAAAAAAAAAAAAGAGGGAAAAAATGAATCAGTGTTTTACATATGTATGATACTCAAGCAGAGTAAACCTGAACTTCAATATTCTTTTATTGACGTCTAATAAGAATGCCCATGCGTTCGCTTGATAATGATTAACCGGTTAAGATCAATGAATACCCAAAA